CCGCCGCCCAGCACTGGTCTATGTACAGTGGCTGTGACCTGGCGCACGTGCCTCAGCATCATTCTCTGCGCATTTACTGGCCTTCGTTTTCTTGCCAATGTGCGCCGATGCGCCTTCTAGGCGCGGCTTCTTCCTGTCCTGTCTCTGTCCCCCCCCTTCCCTGGCGCGCCTCTGGCGCCCAAGGGGCTGCGCCGGAGGCGCCGGCAGGGGGTGGGCTCCAGCGCCGATCGAAGAAACCTGCGCGGACCGCCGACAGCTCATGTCTATGTGGTTGTTGCTCTTCTTCGGGGGAACAAAGTGAGCGGTTTCCATTTCGGCGTTTCGACATCGGGCGGAAGGGGGGGTCTGGCTCCGGACCTCTGAGAAATGCGACTGTTTGCAACAGTGCGTCCTATGGGGGAGACTCCGCCTGCTCGAGACAGGCGCCCAAAGCAGCCACGATCTGGTCCATGGGGGGGGAGGGGGGGGGGGGCGAGGGCACGCGCTGATCGGCAAAACAATGAATAAGACAACGATCACAAAGAGGACGAGGAGGAGGCGGGAGGACGACGAGGCAGAGAAGGGAGGACGACGAGGAGGCGGGAGGAGGCGGGAGGAGGCGAGGAGGGGCAGAGAAGGGACGAGGAGGAGGCGGGAGGACGACGGGAAGGGGAGGCTGCCCCGCGGCTGCCTGCCCCTGCCGAGCACACATCAGTCAGATCGGGAGCCACGGTGAACTGCAGCCCAGGGCCGAACAAAAAACGCCTCGGGCGTCCCCGAGAGAGGGGAAAGGAACGCATCCACCCCACCCTATGTGAGCCTCCACGAACCTCATATGAGATGGAGATCGAGCAATTCCCGTGGCGCCCTGATGCCATCGCGTGATGGGACACCATCACGGCGGACAGTGGGACGCACAAGGACATGCTGGCACGATGTGCCTCTGTTGGAGACGCACGTCCGACCCGAACATCTAGCGCAACATCTTGTAGCATATCGTTTCCCGAGCGGCCTGGCCAGAACGCGCCCACCAAGGAGCTTGTACTATGAGATTTCCGTGCGCGCGCGTCGCCCTTCCGAGGCCGACGCGCAGATATCCGCCGCCTTGCCTGCAGCACGTGGTGGAGTGCCCCATGGCTCATGCAGCCCTGGGAAATTCAGAGTTGCAGGGTTACGACAAAGAATTCAAAGGCCCAGGCCACCGGTTTCACAAAGACTCCCGATGACTTCCCAGGATTTCCTGGGATTCCCCAGGATTTCTGTGGATTCTCTGGGATCCCGTGGCCGACGCGCGCATCCTATGAGTTGTGTCTGGGAAGGCGCAGGGAGAGATTCGGGCAGCCTTCGGTCTCCCGGGGCCCTTGCCGGCCCCGGGGGCTGTCAAACGGCTCGGGGTGAACAGCCGAGCCCCGAGAAGGGGTCCAGACGTCGAGGAGGAGGAGGAGTAGGAAGAGGAGGAGGAGTCCAGATCCCTGGGGAGGTATCTTTAACAGAAAACCGTCGGGTGTCTGCGGGGGGGGGGGGGCGTCACGCAGCAGCGACCTGGGGGAGGATCGACCAGCTGGGCTCCAGACCTGCTCGTGGTGCAGCGGCATCGTCGCGGAGCTGCTGCGGCCGCCCCCCCTCCGAGCCCCCCCCCCCCTTTGGGGCCGCAGGCTGTGCCGAGTAGCTCCCGGCGGCATGTCGTTCTTCAGCACCGCCCTGACTTCTCGGGGAAGGACAGGTCGAGGAGGCCCAGGGACACGCACACAAATACCCACGACGTACGAGGACTCCCCACGTCTTCTCATATTTTCTGGATTCTCGTCTTCCCCCCCCCCCACACTTCCAATGGTTTCCCATCTTTTCCTGGGGATCGACGACGATGTGCACCCAGCAGCGCACTTGCGCCTCCGGGCACAGCGTGGAACGCGTGGGCCGTTTCCCCCTGCTGTTTCCGGGGACGGTTTCCTGGGGAGTCTGGGACCCCAGATGCGCACCATACTGGGAGTTCCCCATCTTTCCTTGTGTGTTCTTTCCCTCCTGACAGATCCCCTCCTAGCTAACTGCCCTTTGGACCAGATCCTGTCAGATCTAACTGTTCTCTCCCTCCTGACAGATCCCCTCCGAGACCAGACCAGGCGGGCGCAAGCCTCCAGCAATTGCAGGCGCAGCCCCCCCCCCCCCTCGAGCACGCAGAGGGAAAGTCGCTAATCGACCTGGCAGGGTGGTAGTCTTGGTGATCCCCCAGATTTCCTAGGCCCAAATACAAGGAAAACGAACTGCACAGACATAATTTCTCGGAGGTCCACGCGGATTTCTTGGATCGGCGCTGGACCCCCCTCCCTGGCGCGCTGCGCTGGAAGCGCCGCCAAAAGGGGTACAACGCCGTTCTCAGAAATCCGCGAGGAGCTCCAAACGTTTCTGTTTGTAGGGTCTCCCTTCTTCGGCCAAAGCTTGGTGCACATGGCAGCCGAGCCTGGCAAGGCGGCCGACGTGCACGATGAATCCGAGATCCGAGCTCGGCCCGGTGGAGGAGAGCCGGTGGCGGTGGTGGATGCCTCCCTTCCGCCTGAGGCGGCTGCCCGGTCGGGTTGCGAGCAGATAGGGTCGGAGGACGAGTGTGCGAGGCGGGGATTTGTCCATATTCACCGCCTGGGCACCGACGTGCTGGTGCCCCAACGCGCGGTGCATCTGGATCTGTTTGGGCCCCCGGGGGCCCGAATATATCCATATCCACCGCGTGTGGAGGTCCGCGAAGGTCGACGTCCCAGACTGCGGTTATGGAAAAATATCCCCCTCGGAAAAGGGAAGCATGGCACACAAACTGCATATGGCAGGTCCGTGTCGTGTCGACCCCGCCATTGGTTTCTGAAGGATCGGCCCTGGGGCCCATCCCTGGCGCGCCTCCAGCGCGCCCAGGGCGGCGCTGGAGGCGCCGCCAGCCAGAGCGCTCCAGCGCAGGTCCGAGAGAAGCCCGCGCAAAGCTCCGAAAACTTTTGCTCATGCATGTTTTCTTTTTCCTTCGCATGGTTGAGCATAGACCGACCGTCCCGGCATTCCTAAGGCCTACCACGACACGTTCTTACAGCCCTATAGTGTTCTAAGAACCTAAACCATATTCTTAGAACATGAGCCCGATGTGTCAGAACGAAGCAGGTCTCAGCCAGAGATGTTCTAAGAACATCTCGTGCAGACCACACGAGGCTCTTAGAACATTATTTGGTGGGCCTCTAGGCGAGCCAGGACGCTTCACCACTGCTTTTAGGTCGAGTATTTCCTCCTACAGGCGGATTTTGAGTGAAAAACAAATCTAGTTTAAACAACAATTCTCAACAAGTACCCCAAAAATAGTAAACATATCGTCCACATACCATTTCTTTGCCTATTGTTGAACATTCCTCCTGTGGAGGGGGACACGCCCGACTCGACACTGCTTGAAATGAGGCCGCATCGCCGACGCGTCGGCGACGCCTGGGCGGAGAGAAATGGGCGCCAGCTCGGCGAGGTCAGGTGCGGCCCGCCCCGACCTCGCCTGATCGCCGGTCCCCGCTGGACGGCCTGGGCTTTGCTCGCGGCAGGCTCGGCAGGGTGGAAAACCCTGCGCGCAGGTTGCTGAAAGCGCGCGGACGGGTTCGGCCTTGCACGATCGAGGCGTGGGGCGACGCCCCCGAGGCGTGGCGCGAGGGGGGCGGCCTCGTGAGGAGGCGGAGGGCCTTCTTGCGACGCAGGGGCCTTCTCAGAAGGGCCTGGGGGCTCCAAGAAGCAGCCTCCTCAGAAGCCGCCAGGCCCCTCCGTGCGCCTGCCTCCCTTGTGGGTGCGAAGACTGTCTGGGTCATTCCAAGCATACCTCTGTTCCTTCTGTCCTTTTTAACATGTTCGCCACCTCCAAGAGGCCTTCCGTGACATCAGCATGTTGCCGTTGCAGAGTTTTCGTGACCCAGAAGGTTGTTTGAATTCTCCCCGAAGAAAACATCCAAGAAATCCCTCCGCCTTCTGCGCATTGAGCAGGGGCCGACCGTCCCGGCATTCCAATAGTCCTACCACGAACTGCTCTTAGGACACCAGAAATGTTCTTGCAGCCCAGACATGTTCTAGGAGCACACAATGCTCTTAGAACATTAACCCAACACGTTAGAACTACACACTCTCAGCCAGACATGTTCTAAGAACACTTCGCGCAGACCACGAAAATGAAGGGGCCCTCGGACACAATAATAAATACACACAGAGAACAGGATTCCCCATATTTTCTGTGTTTTCGTCTTCCCCCCACTTCCCACATGCTCCCAGGTTTTCAGGGAATTGACGATTTACGGTGCCTGATTTTTTCCCCTCCTGAGACAAACTCTGAGAGCATCCTGTGGTGGGCCTCTGGGCGAGCCAGGGCGCTTCGCCACTACTGGAACGCTTCGCCCCTCCGCCTCCTCGGACGGCCGCCTCCCTCGCGCGACCTCCCCTCGCGGCGCCGCCGGGGCTTGCCGACCGCGCGGATCTTTGAGCACCGTCCCAGCAGTGCGAACAAACTAAGCTTGGAAACGAAAACGAACGCAGGCGAGCAGGTTGTGAAAACGAATCCGAGAAGGAAAACGAATGCGAAAACGAATGGCTCGGGCGAGTTGACGATACAAACAACGAAAACGAATGGCCGCGTGACAATTGACAGTAAAGAAAAACGAAAACGAATTCTAGAAAAATCAGAAAACGTCGTCACCCCGCAGTACTGGGCCAGTAATTATTGTGGAGGCCAGCCAACAGGAAACCTTCCACAAGAGACCCAACCCTGAGACCCCAGGGCGTCCACTCATTTTCGGCGAGGGGACGTCACGCTCCCCATGGCAACGGCATCGAGACCCGAGAAACCCAGGGCACCCTGAAGTCAAGCACAGTGCTTCTTGGCATGGGCCTCCACTGTAGCCGTCAACTCCCAGGCCACTGGCAATGTTCATCCTTGAGCCCCTCGGCTGGGGTCGCCGCCGCCGCGACACGGCGCGAACCTAGCGTGCGGTGAGGGGTGAAGGCTTACACGCGCGACTGGCGAGTCATTTGCTCGCCGGCACGGCGCTCACGCTCTTGGGCATGGAGGCCCTGTAGCTTTGAATGACGTCCTCGAATAGTTGGCGACCGTGGCTGCCAATCCATTCCTCCTTTTGTTCCCTGGACATACCTGCGCACTTTTTCTCCACCTCCCGGAGCACCGCGGTGGAACCCATGTCCCGGTTGGCGATCACCACCTTTCCAGAAACAGCGCAGCGCATATCCGAGTAAAGCTTGACGGTGCCCCTGACACCGGTGCCCTCCGAAGCCGCTTTCTTGTAGGCCTCTCCAAGAGCCTCAGCATCCATGATGGCCTGCGTGGCACCCTGGCTGCCGTAAGGCAATAACGGATGTGCAGCATCTCCCAGCAAAGTCACCGGGGAGGAGGAGGAGGAGGAGGAGGAGGAGGAGGAGGAGGAGGACGACGAAGACGGCCACGGGAAGGGAAGGGGAGAAGAGGAGGGAGAGCAGAAGGGGTCACAGTCCCGAAATCGAAGGAGTCCAGGGGGTCACGATCGAACAATGCCCAACCTAGAAGGAGAAAATATATCCACATAAACATAAGCTTTCGGCGGTCTGCACGAATTTTCTGGATAGGCGCTGGACCCCCAGCCCTTGCGCGGGAAGTGCGCCAAGGACGGTGCTGGGGGCTGGGGGTGCCGCCAAGCGAATTCCGCGCCGACCCAAGAAATCAGCGCGGACCGCCAAACGCCCATGCAAATGTTGATATTTTCTTCCACGGCCGATGATCTTCTCCGTCTTCTGGGCTATCTGCAGGGGCGTGAGGCCACCGAAGACGTTGCTGCCCAGGGCAGAGAGCTCGTCCTGGATATCGGCCACGTCGGCCAGGCTGGTCCAACTCTCGACCCCGCCTGGCTCAGGGCGGTTGGCCGTGAACCCCCAGTTGCAGTGTGTCTCCGGAAGAACAAAAAACGGCACCACCACTAGAGGACAGAAAATCCCCCCCATAATAAGCACCCCGACAAGCGAAGCCGTGTAGCAACGCACCCAGGGAAGAAGTCAAACAGGGCAGGGCTGTTTAGTAAACGCCCGAGGGTTCAGCAAAAGCCCATTATTGGGGTCGGGGTGGCTTTCCCCCCTGAAACCACAAGCCTTTGGAGGTCCGCACGGCGTTCTTGGGGCCAGCGCCGGCCCCCCCCCCCTCCTCCTGTAGAGGCAACCTAGATGGGGTCCGAGTAGATGGGGTCCAGGATCTCGCCGCATAGGCGATGCATCGGCGATGCACTGGCATCGTCGACATCGGCGACGCATCTGCGACGTCGTCGTGGAGAACATCGGGATCCACATCGAGCCGCATAGGCGATGCATCGGCGATGGGTCGCGATCCTCCGACACCATCTACTCAGACCCCATCTAGGAGGCCTAGAGGAGGAGGAGGAGGAGGAGGAGGAGGAGGAGGAGGAGGAGGAGGAGGAGGAGGGAGGAGGAGGAGAGGGGGGGAGGGGAGGGGGAGGAGGGGAGGAGGAGGAGGAGGAGGAGGAGAGGAGGAGGAGGAGGAGGAGGAGGAGGAGGAGGAGGAGGAGGAGGGGGAGGAGGAGGAGGAGGAGGAGGGGGAGGAGGAGGAGGAGGGGGAGGAGGACGAGGAGGAGGAGGAGGAAGAGGAGGAGGAGGAGGAGGAGGCCCAAATCCAACGGAGCGAGGGCACGCTCCAGGCTCGAGGGGCCGGAGGCGTTCGCAGGGAGCCCAGTGCCGGCCCAGAAAGTCTGCGTGGCCCCGCGGCAATCTGCGCCCGTGCCGCCGTTTCCTCTTCGAGTCTTGCCGCCCTTCCTCATGCCTGAGGGGCAACGAGAGGGGGGGACTGGCCTAGGGGGGGGGAACATCGACCTGGTATCGGCGATACCTCGCCGACAGATCGGCGTTAGGCCCCCGATGGTGAATCCGCACGTTCCTGGGCAGGCTGGTGCTATTGAGCCCCGATCGGCGATCAATGGGCGATTGGGGGTCGATGCATACCCACTTAGGCCTATCCCCCTCTCGTTGCCCCTGAATGCCCTCGCTGATCGGATAGCAGATGAAGGCCCCCTGCGCGTTCCCGCACAATTCGACCGTCGTGCCGTTGCCGATGGGGGCGTCCACCTCGCAGAGCCCCCGGAAGATCGTCTTGCCCGTGTACTTGGGCAGGCCGTCGCCCAGCAGCTGCGCCCGCACACGGCTCTTCAGGCCGTCCGCGCCGACCAACAAGTCACACGACACCGGCGGCACCATCTCTCCACTTCTCGTCTGGAACTGCACGGTCACCGTGCCATCGTCGGCGCGGTCCATGCCGACGAAGCCGCGGTCGAGGATGACGCGGTCCTCGCCCAGCAACTCCCTGGCTCTCGCGAGCAGTAGGTTGTGGAACTTGGCCCGGTGCAGCGAGAACTGCGGGTGTGCGTCGCCCTTCGCGAGCCCACATGGCTCGTCGGCGATCAGCACACCGTCGACCGTGAAGTACTCGATCTTGCTCGTCTCTATGCCATCTGCCAGCACTGGGTCCTTGAGCCTCTCAACGGTGACGCCCAGGCGGTCCAGCACGCCGATGGCACGACGGACGAACAGCGGTGGAAGCTGCGGTGTTCCGCCATTGCGAGGGTCTGCCCGGAAGCGGAAATCAGCAAGAAAATCAGCACTGACGCTGGAATTCGTAGCCTCATTATGCCGCAATCCGTTTATTCGAGACCTGCTTCTGCCATTGCCGAGCAGTCACTGTCTGCTGGAAGAGGTCAAATAAGACAACGGCGGCTCTCCCGCCTGGCCCAAGTGTGCTCAAAATCGATCCCTTGACCAAGCGGATCCAGCCACGGGGACGAGAAACCTCCAGGATCCTCCCTTGTTTTCGAAGCGGATCCAGCCATGGGGACGAGAAACCTCCCGGAGGCTCAAAATGACGAAGAACGCCAGGCAGAGCCGCCGCTGTCACGAATTGTCCCTCGCTGAGCTTGGGGTCCACGCGACTGTGCCATTTTCCAGATGGGATCGGAGTGCAGTCGGAGCGTTGACCTAAGGAACCCTAAACAAGGAACGAAGCCCCCTTCTTCCAGACGCTAAACTCCGATTCCCCATCGAAAACCTGAAGACAACATGAGGCAAACTGGAAAACAACTGAGGAACACTGATACCTGGGCGCTGCGCCGGCACGGGTAGAGAGCAGGAGCCTCTCTTTCGTCACAATAAGAGGTGTCCAAGATGCGAAAGCATTGCCAACAGCAGAATCGATTGCGAACGGTTGAAGGTCGGAGGGCCGCCGAGGTCTTCCTGGTGGCACGCTGGCACAAACAACAGGCAGGACCAAAGAAGAGAAAAGGGGGTTGGGTGGGAGGGCCATCTGGCTACAGCGGAAGCCTGTCGCTTCCGATGCCTCCCCGTTCCCTCTACGCTGGGCAGGCAAACGCATCTAGATTATCAATTCCTGGGCGCTGCGCTGGCACGGGTAGAGAGCAGAAACCTCTTTCGTCACACTGCGAGGTGTCCAAGATGCGAAAGCGATGCCAACGACAGAATCGATTCCGAACGGTCCAAGGCCGGAGGGCCTTCGAGGTGTTCCCAGCGGCACGCCGACACAAACGCCGTGATAGGGCAGGGTGGGCGGGCTCATTGATTCAGGCCGTAGCCTCAAGACTATTTTCTGTCTCCGAGAGCGGCGGCACAGTCAGCTAAGCTGAAGCAGCTGATGCAGGCGATGCAGGAGCGATGTTTCCCGGCGCTGCTGCTGCTCCGACATCTTCTTGATCTGGCGCAGGACGCAGCCGACTTTGGCGCAGTTCTTGACGCTGGCCTTCGCCCCAAGCGGCCAGGCTCCTGCACCTCCGCCAGGGAGCGGTGGCGGCCGAGCGCGTCCTCGCTCGGGCCGCCGTGGCGAAGCATGCGAGGCGTGAGGTGGAGCTCCGCCGGGCCGGCGTCGGCCGCGGCGCCCCCGACGAGGCGCTCGAACTTCGCGAGCGTCAGGCTCGGGAAAAGCTCGGAGGAACCCGAGGTCCCTACAGCGGCCAGCAGCGACGCCACGAGCTTGCGGAAGTACACGCGGCCCGCTGCCACGGAGACGGCGTCGTGGATCAGCGCGGCGTCGTCGTATTTGCCCGTGTTCGCGGGCGGCGTCGCCTGTCCCTCCTCGTCGGGCGACCGAGGCGCAGCTGGAGCTACCGTGACTGCCAGCGGGCCCCGAGCGGAAACGTCGGCTAAATCAGCGCGCCTGATGTTGAGCACCTCCGAGGGCCGGAAGTGCCCGTCCTGCATCGGCACCGCCGCTCGAGATGCGACCAGCCCGTCGTCGCCCTGCTTTCGTCAGCTGCTCGACGGTGAGGGCGAGGGCGACCCGCGGGCAGGGGTCGCGAGCCACCTCGGGCCCCCCCTTGCGCCAGCCGCGGGCGCGCTTGGCGCGAGGCAGGACGCCCTTGCCTCCGAAGCTGAGGTTGGGGCTGAATGCGACCGCCGCCAGCGTCATGGGACCGGAGCTGACGGCCTCGCCGTCGAAGTACAGCTCCGTGATGGACGCCTCCAGGATCCCATTGAGCTTCGCGAGGTCGGTCGGCAGCGCTCGGCCGCAAGAGCGGACCGCGCTTCGATGCCAATTCTCGTAGGCGGTGGCGGTCCTAGCCGTGGCGCTCTCGGTCTTCAGGTGGCGCTGGCGCGAGGCAGACGCCCGGGCTGGGGTCGTTATCGCCGCCGCCTGCCGCGCGCCCGCGCGGGCGGCGCGGGCGGCCGCCCTCGGGGCTCGCTCGGCCGGCGGCCGAGCCTTGGCCCGACGCGGGCGCCCGCGGCGCGACCCAGCGGCGGTCGCGGCCTCCCCGGGCTCGGGCCCCCAAGGGCCACTTGCGGACGCCGTCGGCGGGGAGCGGGTCGAGTCGAGGCCCGATGGGGGCCGGCGCCGAGCCCAGCGGCCCGCAGTAGCGCAGCGTGCCACTGGCCGCGCCACGCTGCGTCGCCGCCCTCGGCCGAGCCGAGCCGTGCGCCGCGGGGCGCCGCCCCAGCGGCCATGGCGGCCCAAGCGCGGCACAGGCCTGGAGGGCAGGCGCCCGCAAGGTTGGCGCGCCAGGCCACTCGAGCCGGCCGAGCCGCGGCGCATGGAGCTGAGGCTGTCGAGGTCTGGGGGCTCAACAGAGGCACCACATGGGCCTTCCCGTCCAAGATGTCGTGATAGTGGCCACCTTGATAACGACGACGCAACCGGCTGAGACCAGGGAGCGCACCCAAGAGGCCAGTGGGTTTCCGATAGTGAGCACCGAACTCGCACGCATCGAAATCAACAAAGACCGACTGAGGCAACTCGAAGAGAGGACGGACGAGAGGGTGATCCCACAGGGCTGCGCGCAGCGGGTTCTCGATCGTCCAATAGATGCCAAGCCGCTGGCGCACATTGACCAGCCTTCGGGCGACGCGGACGTCCCGCGCGGCACGAAGAGCATCGGCTGGAGCGAGGGGTTCGTGACGCGCTGTGCTTCTGGTCGTACAGCGCGCCCCAAGATCCCCATCGCGTAGCTAGCCTCCCAGAGCCCGAAGCGTCTTCCAGGAGCGCACGTCGCAGAAGGGGCCCGCTGGTGGTCCATCGGGGGCGTCGCCCGGAGACCGGCCCCAACGAGGGCTGACGAGAGCCCGCTGGTGCCCGAGTAGACCTCCAAGAACGCCCGAGCTCGTCGCGTTGCGCGAGGTGCGTGCGTAGGAGGAGGACGCTCTGACAAGCGTCGGCGGGCGCCCGTCACTGGCTCGGGGGGCGGCAAGGCGCGCCGCTGGGGCGGCAGCCGCGGCCGCCTAGAAGATAAGTGGACGTGGCAGCCCCGTCGCCCCGCTCGGCGGGGCGGACGGAGCTGGGCGAGGAGACTGCGGTCGACTGCGGGCCCAGGAGCCCAGGCGCCGCGGCAGCCCGCCCCCAGCGCGACCGCCGAACAGCAGCGGGCGCAGCAGCAGCAGGACCTGACGGGGCGCGGGCGAGGGCCAGCCCGCTCCCTCGCGCCCCCCCTCTGGGGCGAGTGGGGGAGGTCGACTCCACTCGGCCGAGTCGAACGTGAATCGGCAGGCTCGGGCAGCCCCCAGGACGGTCTCCTGGGCCGACCTCTCCACGGTCAGCAGCTCGGGAGTCGTAGTCTGTGCAGTTGCGCGCGCTCTCGATGCGCCCGAGGTGCCCGGCGATCTCGGCGCCGATCGCGATGGCCGCCGCCTGACGCACCAGGAGCCGCAGCCAGAAGTCCGAGGCGCAGCCCTTCATCAAGGCCAGAAGCGCGATCAGGTTGTCGGCGAGCCCCAGCAGCCGCACGCCGTGAATGGCGGGGACACGGGCGGTCCGCCGAAGCTACATCAGCGCAGCCCGCGCCTCCATCAGGTGAATGGCGCTGTGGCAGGCCCAGCCGCCCTTCGCGATGTTGAGCCAGCGGTCGGGGTCAGCCCAGGCGTCGTCCAGCGAGTGGAATGCGTCCGAGGCCTCAACCACGCGGCAGGGCGCCCGGCGCCGGCGGGGCAGGGAAAGGGGCCCCGCGCGAGGCGGGCCTGCCTGCGCCGCGACGCCGGCGATGTCCAGGCCGAGCGACCCGAACTCGGCGGCCAGGTGCGGGGCGCACGCCGCAACGCGGTTCTCGCGAGGTTGGCCTCCTCGATCGTGAACCTCCAACGCTCGCGCAGGCGATCGGCGCCCAGGATGTCGGAGGGCGCCGCGCGCGCGAAGGAGAGATTAGCCGAAGGTCGAGCTGTCCCCAGAGAACACCACAGGCGCACGCGGCGCTGCGAGGTCCACGTCGACGAGCTCCACGAGGCCCTGCAGGACGCGCAACTCGGCATCGAGGCCATCGCTGAACCGGCCCCGCGCGCGACGGCCACGGCGCTGCAAGAAGCGATAGCAGTGGTCCAAGGCAGACGAGCCCCGCGCCATCAGGAGGAAGTGATTCCCGACGTGCCCGACGACGCGCCCCAGCGCGACACCGTGACAGCCGCCCTGCTGCAGCAGCCGCTCGATAGCCAGGTAGAGTCGCCAAGTGTACTTCTCGGTGGGCAGCAGCTGGCGCTGGAACCCGCCCAGGAAGCGCATGCCGGCGTGGGTGACCTCGGTCTGGGCGGGTTCGACGTCGTGGACAATGAAGCCCATCTTCTCCAGCCGCGCGAGGCGGTCCACGCCGCGCTGCGCGTCGTCGCGGTTGAAGCACATCACCGCGCCGTTGTCGACGTGCACCGAGAACGCGGGACGCCCCGGAGAGACCAAAGGCGCGGGCGGCGCGGGAGCGCCCTCGCGCAGCAGGCCGCCCAGCGGTAGCGGGGGGCGACCTGGAGCCATGGCCCGCGGGCCCGCCGCCGAGAACGCCGCGCCCCCCCTGATCGACTGGCAGATGTAGAGGGCCCAGCTGAAGCCCATGGAGTGCACCTCCATGACAAAGTGCAGGGCGGTGTCGCCACCGACGAGGAGCTCCTTCTCGGCGCCCTCTTCGCAGCACGGGGCGACGCCCCGCTCGCGGGCCGCGGAACCAAACTCAACGCCGAACCGCCGTCCGAGCCGCTTGGCGCGGCGCTGGTAGAAACCTGCCACCCGGCACAAGTCCAGGACGGCGACGCGGATGTCCGCGGCCCGCGGGTCGCGTCGCTGAGGTCGAGGTCGCGGAGGGCACCTGGGCCCCCGAGCTGCGCGCGGGGGGGCTCCTGCATGAGCTGGTTGGCCTCGCGGGCATCGACGATCACGCGCTGCGAGCCGTCCTTCTTGGCGCGGAAGAACGGCGCGATGCGGGCGCGGATGGAGGTCCGCAGCCCGCCCAGCCCGCGCGCCAGCAGGTCCTTCGGCAGCGCGAAGAGGGCCGAGCGCGTGGCATAGCTTCGGACCCCAGCGCGGCTTCACGGGGGTGATCAGGCCGTCCTGGACGCGCGCCTCCACTTCCGCGGCGGCGCGCTAAAGGCGCCGCTCGGGCTCCAGGTACTGCGCGAGGCCGAAGCCCGTCAGCACCGACTCCAGCGGCATGGGACTGGTCGGGCGCTCCCAGATCTTCAAGCAGTCGGCGTCGAAGACCGAGGCGTCATACATGTCGTTGGTCTTGAGAAGCTCAAGCGGGGCTTCCTTCGGGAAGGCGCCGGGCGCTGCGCCCCGCCGCGAAATTCCCCCACAACTCGAGCGATCACCGAGGCCTGCGGCACGCTGGGCGCGCGAGGGAAGGTCGACAATAGCCAGGGGCGACTGGGAGGAAGCCGATGCCAGGGCGTTCAGCGTCACGATCGACTCCGCCACGCCAGCGCGTCGCGACCGGCGGCGAGAGGCAGCGCGAACAGCTTTGCGACGCTGGCGACGGCCATGATTGTCAAGACTCGGGGCAGGGGGGCGGGAAGATGTCAGCGCGCGAACACGTGACGGGGCCGGCCTGCCGAAGAGGATGCGCGCGACGTGAATTCAGGCCGCGAGGAACGGGGGGCGCCGGGGCGGACTGGGCGGCCAGGCCAGCCGGCTCGAAGCGGGCGACCCCCGGCAGAGTAGTCATGAGTCCGCGGGCCCCGACCTCTTGCTCTTGGGGTCGGCGGCCCGCTTGCGCTCGGCCTCCTTCCCCCCCCGAAGCAGGCGGCCCTGATGCGCGATTGTCGCCTGGTCCTTCTGACGGTCCGCCACCCGCTGTGAGAAAACCGCCGTCGTGGCCGCGCCGCTCTCGTCGGTGGACGCACTCATCGAGACGTCGAGGCCCGTGAAGTCGGGCACCTTGGCGCCGCGGCGCACCGCGGCCCCTATCTGGGCGAGGCAACGGAACAAGAGCTCGGTGATGGGATGACCAGCATCGAGACGTCCAGCTGGTCGAACTGCACCTGCCAGCGGAGCACCTCAGACAAGAAGAAGTGCTCGCGGGCGGCGGCGCCGTGCACGTTGACGCCCGACTTCCGCGCCCACTCGCGGTGGGTCGTGAGAGACTGACCCTGGGCGCGGAGGCCCTGCAGGAACTCGACCGCCACGCGGGGCCCCGAGAACGGGAAGTGCTCGATCTTCGAATTGAGGGCGTCCTCCTCCGAGAGGAAGGATAGCCCCGGCGATCGCGCCGAAGCCTGGTCGCGCGAAGGTCGCGGCCGAAGGCGGTGACCTGCTCCAGACGCCAAGCCTCCTCGCGACCGGCCTCGACCGCCTCGGCGTGCGCCCAGCGTCGATCCACCAGCGCGAGGCCGCTGCCGTCGCGCGCCACGAAGCAGGCGGGTCGGTCGGCGATCGCGGCCTCGGGGGCCGCGGAGGCGAAGGCCTCGTGCGCAGGGTCGGCCACCCTCCAGACGGTGTCGGGCGCCGTCGCGGCAGCGCCCTTAATCCCGTGCACCGCCGCCAGCATTTTGCCCCGTCTCGCAAACTCCGCGAGCTCCGCGGCCGAGATCGGGTCGAAGATGAAGCACTCGTCGCAATACGGCACAGGGATCAGCTCGTTCCGATCGAAGAGGCACCGCACGGTGCCGCGAGAGGTCCAGCACTTGCACCGAACCCGTGGGACTCACCACGGTCCACAACCCCTTTGCCGTCAGTCTGTAAGAGAAGCCGATGGTGCCAGAAGAAGCCGTTCGGGTCATCGAAGTAGTCGATCAGCACCTTAGGGCTGGGCACGTCCAGCGCCCGTGGGGCACGCGCGGCCGCAGCCGCGGCGTGCGCCATCACGCGGGGCTAGGGCCGCCCGCCAGGGCCAGCGGCGAGGCTGGCCCCGTGTATGCGGCCGGGCGGAAGTGGGCCCCCGCCGGCGTTCGCGTCCGCGGACGCGGTTCGCAGCAGCCGCGGGTAGCCACCCCGATCGCGAAGCCCACGAGCAAAAAAGGCGCCGCTAAGCCGGCCCACGCGGGCGGCGTCAGCAGCGCGCACAACGGCGGGGACTTTATCGTACACGTGGACGCCGATGGCACCGGCGCCTGGGAATAGCTGAGGGCGCCCAGGCAGCGGTCCAACGCCAGCTCCAGGCCGGGCGAGTCGCCCACACAGCGGGCCGCTTTGCCGTCAGGCGCGCCGCCGACCTCGCAGTGGCAGCGGCAATCGGGTAATCGGGTGACGGGATGTCGAAGGCACGAGCGTAGAAGTCGAGACGAGGTTCGCGGCGCCCAACCAACCCCCGAAGTCCATTCGGGAGGCTTTTGAACCCACATGACTACAGCGGAAGCTTGTCGCTTTCGATGCCCCCCCGTTCCCTCTACACTGGGCAAGTAAACGCGTCTAGATTCTCAAGCCCTTCCTTAACGAAAAGGAAATTTTCTTCAGCGCCCCCCGTAGATGGGGTCAGAAAATCTCGCCGCATCGCCAACGCATCGCCGATGCATCGGCGATGCGGTGCGACCCTCTGACCCCATTTCTCGGGTTACGTTGCTCCTATCGTACTAAAGGACCACATCCCAGAAATAATTTCGAGCACCCAGAGAAGTGTCGAAACAGTGTCGAACGAGTATCGCCTCCCAGGGCCCGACACGTGAAAACCCTCAGGTTTCGGTATTTCCCTGGTGCTAGAAATTATTTCTGGTGATCAAGGCCGAAATAGGTTGGAACATCATAACTCTCGGACCCCAGAAGTGGACAAGCGCGTTCCACGACTCGTAAAGGAGCTACTCGCAAATGGCCTGGATCCACTGCATCGGGGCAGACAAGCTCCATTGCACCGAGCAACATCTGTGTGTTTTGACGTTGGCGAGCAGGCACTCTGCGAGTAGTCGAGCGCGCTCGGTGAAATTCAAGAGACCTGGAATCTTGCACTTTTTGTTGGTCCGTCGGATGGCGACCGCTTGCACGTTGATGCCGGCCCCAATCTCCAGCAGCGTGTGCGCCTGCTCGTAGACAGTGACGTCTGCCCCAGCCTGGGCGAGGGCGATTGCCGCGGTGCAACCCCCGATGCCACCGCCGACGATGAGGACTCTTGGTGCCATCGGGGCGGCCGGCTTCTGGCGCGCAGGCGAGCTGGCGGCAGCCGGCGCGGCGAAATCAAATCTTTGAGGCGAGCCGGGGGCGGACCACGACGACGGCCACGACCGAGACTATGACCGCTGGCAGCACAGCGCCCCTTCCGGCGAGGCTAAGCGCCGCCGCCTCCGCGTCCCCCCTCCCTCTCCCTCCCCTTGCCATCGCTCGGACGTCCATTCCCCGTGAATCTTTCGGCTTCGTCCACTTATTTCCGCACGGTAGCCCAAAATGCTCCTCGATGGTCCTCGTCGAGAAAAATAGGCACAAATCCGAGCGATGCCAAGTCCCAGCCTCGACTGCGGCGGGCCATGTGATCTACGCGCTGCCCGCTGCTGTGATGGCTCCCGCGAGGCACCGCCACTCGGCACTGCGCGTTGCCGCCAACTCGCTCCTCGCTCCTTGCTCCTCGCTCCTCCTCCTCCTCCTGCTCCTGTTCCTGCTACTGCTACTTCTACTGTTTCTCCTCCTCCTCCTCCTCCTCACCTCCTCCTCCTCCTCCTCCTCCTCCTCCTCATCATCATCATCATCCTCCTCCTTCTCCTCGTCCTCCGCCTGCTTCTGTTTCTCCTCCTCCTCCTCTTCCTTCTCCTCCTCGTCCTCCTCCTTTTCCTCCAGCTCCTGTTCCTGCTCCTGACACTGCTCCTCCTCCTCCCTCCTCCCCCCCCCCCCCCTCCTCCTCCTCCTCCGCCTCCTCCTCCTCCTCCTCCTCCTCCAGCTCCTGCTCCTCTCCTCCTCCTCCTCCCGATCCTCCTCCTCCTACTCATTCTCCTCCTCCTCCTTCTCCTCCTCTTCCTCCTCCTCCTCCTTCTCCTCGCTCCTCCTCCTTTTCCTCCTCGCTCCTCCTTGCTCCTCCTCCTCCTCCTTCTTGCCCTCCCCTCTTTCTTCCTGCCGCTCTCGCTGCTCGTTTGCAGCAAAGGGGAGCACAAGCAACCCGAAGAGAGAATTGAAGCGCACCGCCGCCGTACCGTCAAAAGCTCCCACAGCCAACCCGGATCATGAAGGCTGCGCGGTAAGGACGCAAGGGCCTTGAAGGCCCACGAGAACGCGTTTCGAACGAGGCTGGCCAGCGAAAGTCGCTAAGGATAGGCTGAAAGGGGCAAGGATGCAAAGGTATTGGAGGCCTGGAAATGGGCACCAACACCAACACAAGGGGCTGTCTCCATAGGGGGAAGATGATCCTAGATGTCGGCGTTGGTGGTAACATGTCGATCACCTTGGCAGCCAGAATATTACCACCATCACCGAGATCGGGATCTTCTTCCCTCGGTGGAGGCACACCGCCGATATTGGTGTTGGTGTCAACCTCTAGGCCTGCGAGGGTACCCTTGGGCAAGTTGCCCATCCTTGCTGTGCGGGTCGCCTGCACCGTGGAGCGCCAGGCAGGGCACGAAGCCCCCCTTCGGCCCCCACAGCGCCAGGGCTGCACGAGGCGCGGCCGTCGCAGGACTCTCCAGGAACAGCGAGCCCCCTCCCAGCCCGCTGTGCCTGGTCTCGGCGTCCCCAGGGGAACAAGCAACGACAAAAACACAACAACTCGGAGGTCCGCGCGGATCCCTCGGATCGGCGCTGGAGCCCCACCCCCCTAGCAGCACCTCCAGCGCCGCCCCTGGCGCGCTCCGCGCGCCAAGGCCGATCCGAGAAAGCATGTTTCTTCTTCTTCTTCTTCGTCTTCGTCTTCTTCTTCTTCTTTTGAGAACTAGGAGGAAAGCTGATGGGACGGAAGCGGGCACCTCCTCACGAAGACGGGGGGCGAGACAAAACAAGCATGGGCAGCGAGGCACTCGGAGTGAGAATCCACTGCACCTTTAAATCGCCATTAGCGGGGCCTAGTCGAGGACGGTGTTTCTACTATTTGTTGCTATGCTTGTGCATTTGTTTGCCAATGTTTCGATGGTTCGTTCAAGATCCGCCTGTAGTGGGACATGCCCGACCTAAGTCTACTACATTTCCCGCCACTATGATAGATTGAAGAGACTCTTGGAGCAGAGATCCTCGCCGTGTCACGTCGTCCTGGTTGATAAAAGCCTCCGCGTATGATCACGCGTGGCTTCTTGCCACGAAGATAGCCTTCGGTCGGGCATGTCCGCGTGCAGGTAGATTTTCGACGAAGAAATACGCAACCAAAAAACATAAACATCGTCCCCAGGCTACTGTTTGGACTATGTTTGAATATTCCTCCTGTAGAGGGACACGCCCGACTTAAAGATAGCCATGCAAAATAACCACAGGCAGCCAGGCCCTCGGCCGCAGAGGTGTTGTGCTCGGAGGGGCCTTGCAGTCGGCCCCTCCTCTCGCGGCAGGACCTCGCCCCGCGACACCATGCTAGGCGGCAACAAATCCCCCCCCCCCCCCTAATCACCCCGACAAGCGAAACCGTTCAGTACAGGCACCCAAAGAAGGAATCGAACAGGGTAGGGCTGTTTAGTAAACGCCCAGGGCCGTTTAGCTAACGCCAACTATCGGGTCTGGGTGTTTTTTCTTCCCTTGACACACGGGCGCATCGCGCGAGGCATCCCGTCCACTTGGGCGCGAAGGGTCAAGCGTCCCCCGTGGGTCCATTGAACGTTCGCAGTCTGCCCATTTCTATGAGGTACACGCTGCAAGTCGAGCACTCGTCACTGAGCCGATTCATATAACTGACACACTCTTCTAAATCATAGGGATCCTTACTCCAACCGCCGATCAGAGAGGAGGGACGGAGCTGAGCCCGAGAGGGCTGACACTAGACCCCTCTTTACTTTCTCTCTCTCTCTCTCTCGGCCATAAATGTTGTCTAGCTGGCCGACCTCAGAAACCCGGGCAACCCCCCTCACGGCCCCTCGACCCCCCTCCGCGATCTATGTAGTGCAAGCTATTGTGTGCAAGACATGTGGTGTCAGCGCACGGGACGCCCACCCAGACATGCGACGTCCTGATTTTTTCAGGACGGCATCCCTGGAAGTACCGACCCTTTCCCCGGGACCGGTTTCTCGTCCCGAGTCGTTTTTTGACGGTCCCGAGGCCCGGCAAGGGCCCCCCAGGCCGAAAATAGCCAAAAACCCCCCGTCCGTTTTTTTTACGACGCGATCATGTCAGGGCACGGGTCGTTCACGAGAGGGCCCGGGCCCCACCGCGCCGAAGCCTCTGAGGACCCACCCAGGCGGGCGCCGACGCTGCGAGTGCTCGGGGAACCACCCAGCGCGCGTGGTACCCACGGGGCGCCCACGGGCGGGCACGGCCCGCCAACGCGGCGCACCCTCGGGAAACCCACCCAGCGCACAGGGCGCCGGCGAGGCGACGCCTGCTGTCTTGTTGTTGATTGGGCAGCTGATGCCGATGCTGTGCCGACAAGACGCTTCCTCTACAGTGCTTTCTGGCTGCCATCACCCCCTACTCTGGGTGTCATCGTAAGCCCCGCGCAAGGTCGCGATGCCATCGGGCGTCTTGGCACCGCTCGGACGTGTGCACTGTTTCTCGGCGAGGGCCATCGAGGAGCGTCTTGGATCGTCTCACGAAGACTACCCTGGGTTTCTTAATTAGCGCGGGGGGGATACCCCCCCGACGGGGGTCAACCTCGCCTCATCGTCGCGCCGCGACGGGGGTCGGAGCGCCTTCGGCGCGCGGTGGCTGCCCAGGACGGGGGTCGACGTGTGGCTATCAGCGGGGGTGACCCCCCCCCAACGCTTATCAAGAAACTCGACATAGGGAAACCCACCCGGCGCAGGGGGCGCCCACGAGGCGCCCACGTGTGGGCACAAGCGCCAACGCGACGAGCACTGGGGAGGCCCATCCGGTTGCGTAAAGCAGCCCAGAGAGAACCCCTGGAGTGCAACACACTGCTGGGGCACTCTACGTAGCAAGAGGCCGAGTTCCAACAGAAGCCGAGCTCATGAGCAAGAGCAAGTTGCCCAAGAAGCCTCGCGCGGAGGAAAAGCGGGGCATCTGGCGAATTCCCCTCCAACTCCTCCCTTCTCCTCCTTCTCCTCCCCCTCTGGGCGAGACAGTTTGGCGGTTCCTGCAAGGGAGTGCCGCGAGTGGGGTGGGTTACTAAGAAGGCGTGGGAGCTTCTAAGAGGGCAGCGGGGTCCTTGGAAAGCCTCCAGGGCGGCCTTCTCAAAAGGCCCCTGCCTCCCCAGAAGCCCCACCGCCCTCTCAGAAGGCTCCTCCTCCTCCTCCTCCTCCTCCTCCTCCTCCTCCTCCTCCTCCCCCTTCCCCGCAAGCCCGCGGCAGGACGGGCCTGTGCTCTGTCCGCGTCCGCGCGCTCCACGGATGCCTTCGGGGGGGGGGAGGGGGCGGGGCCGCAGCTTCAGGAGCACGGGCGTCGGGGGCCGGCAAGAGTGCCCCTGCTCCACGGCATCCCCCAGCTCGCGCCGTTTTGGACCCAGAGTTCCGACGCTCCAACAAAAAATTTGAGCGGCGGGATTTGGGCAGTTTTTGGCCTCCGGGGGCCCTCGCCGGGCCTCGGGAACGTCAAACAACAACTCAGGACAAAAAAACGGCCCCGGGGGAATGAACTGGTCTGGACCTCCGGGGCCCATGCATAAAAAAAATTGGAGCAGCCAGATACACTGGGGACCCCCTGGGGCCCTCTGGGCCTCGCGAGGGGGTGCCCTGGAGGCGCTCGGGCCCCCGCCCCCTGGAGATCCTGGAAACGCCTCGGGCCAGGGACACATCTGGCGGCACGCGAGGGTGGGGGCTGGAAGCAGGATCGGGACGGAGACTTCGTGAACCCGAACAATCAGGACGCGCGATAAGGACGCAAGGGCCTTGTAAGGCCATGTCGATACTGTGCGAGAGCGGCCAAAGGTTGGCCGAAAGAGAAGGGCGTAAGGGCACCCGTCGCTCGGAGAAAGCGAGTACAACATGAAGCAGGAACCCGATGGAAGGAGATTGGGCGTCTGCCCGCGCCCCGAAGAGGAAAGAAATGGGGGACCCACTTGGTCATTGAAGCAGGAAGGCGCCCAAAGTAAAATGGAATCTGAGGATCCAAGAATATCTGCTTTCAACGACTGACGGGCACCCTTGGAAAATGGGTCGACTGTGAAAAAACACCTGAGAACAAGCCCAGTCAGTGGATCGATAAAGAGATCGACTGAGAACCCGGGAGCCCGGAAGCCACAGAAATCGGCCGAGAACCAATAACCCAGAACCCGAGAACCCAGCCGGCGACCAAAACCGGCAGGAAACTTTCGCAACATCTGTCAATTTCCGCGAGGACCCCTTCAGTGCAAGGACTGATCGGGGAAAAACTGTTGGAGCGGGGCGGGGTTGCAGGAGCATGGGGGCAGCGGCAGGGCAGAGGGAGCGTCACCGGCCTGCATCTGAGCCAGGA